AAGTATTTGAGGTTATTTTGGATTTTTTCCAACATCTGACTGAAGGTGGTAATAGGTAGTGGTAATTATTTGGGTGGTAGGGGGTAATTATTTTAGTTATTTATTATTTATTTGAGTATTAATTAAAAAGACCTACTATCTTCAGGAGCAGGTTCTGGAATGCAATTACGAGCGTTTTGTTTGAGGCAGCCTAGTGGTGATTTTGTGAAGAAAAACGAGGCAGAAACAGAAGAAATGGAGTCGTTTTGAAATTTTGATGAAAGATTATTTAATTGCTGGGAAGACTGGAAATTTATTTTTTTAATTTATTTATTTATAAATAAATTTTCACTTAATAAAAGTTATAACTAAATCCAGTTAAATATTAATTTGTATTATTAATAAAGAGATCAAGCTTCGCGTATCCAGTTAAACCCACGAATATCAGAATACTTTTTCGGATATTCAAACTATAGCCCGCTCGACAAGATATTTTTCGGTAATAAAAATTTTGAACGACCCTTTGCGGCCGGGTTCTATTTATTTTTCCAAACTAAATATTTTTATTAAAATTTTAAAAAAATAAAGCAAATGGAATAGCCATATTCCTAATTTTGGATAAAAAAACTTAATTAAATAGACAAAAATATAAAGCCAAGCATGTTAATAAATATAGACATTTTTTCCCTTAAAAAATTTTTTTATTGAATGGAAAGGATAAATTGGATGTACTTTTTTGCTGTTTTTTTATAAAAATGGAAGCAATTTTATCCAAATTGGTGTTTGCTGATGTCACATAACAAAAGCGAAATGTGTGACTTTATATATCTATTTTATGGCTTTAGTTAAAGTTCTTTAAAAGGCAAACAGAAAAATAAAAAATTTTTAAATGGTTGGATGAACAATTAAATAAATTATATTTTAGTTTCGAAAATAAAATAATTAAAAATGAAAATAAATTTTAGAAATAAATAGAGATTTAAAAAACTATTGTTTAATTTTTCTTAATTTTATCCAAATAATACTTCCCCTACTTTCTTTCCTCATATCTTCCTATACTGATAAAGGATTTTATTGAATTAATATTTAATTTGATTTTTAAATTGCGGACGCGCACTGATTTATGTAATAAATATGTAGGGTCGGATTTATAGTGAAATAAGGCGCAAAACGACTTCGGTCATAAACCAGCCTTGTATGAACAGTGTCTGAACATTGAGTTCAAATAGAATTATTATGAGTTAAGAAATTATAAGACAAGTCGAAAAAATTTTTGATTTTCATATTAGAAATATCAAAAAAAATTTCCAAAAATTTCTCTAAACATCTTAAAAATCAAAATGCGGGTGGGGGGGGGGGGATAACTTAATTTATTACTCTTTTTTAATTAATTTACCGTAGTCGTTTGTCTAAGTCTTCCTCCATTTTTCAAAGCATGATCTGTTGATAAATTTCTATGTTTATTATTCATTCTAATATTTGTTGTTTCTATTTGTTCGGAAGAATTTAAATTTAATTCTTGAATTTGTGAGAATGTTGAAGAACCTTGAAATTTTTTTTAATTTTTTTAAAATTTTAATTACAAAATAAAATTTATAATATTAATTCTAATTTTAATAAATCTATAAAAAATTCAATAAAAGTCCATGGGAACATGAAGGAGCTAAAATATAAATTATTAATAGCTAAATGCTACGTGCTACATGTTAGCTTAGAAATAAGCATGCATTTTTAATTAAATACACAACAAAAAGGAATTTAATAATAATTTTTTAAATATAAAATTATTTTTTAAGATCAAAATATTAATTTTAGATAAATCTTTGTAGAGAATGTTAGATAAAATTAACGAAAATCTCCGATTTTAAGATAAAAATTTTATAATCGGAAATTGAGTTTCAAGAGAAATTTTCAATTCCCGTGTTCGTAAACAGGGTCGGATAGACCTCGGATATAAAATTATTTTTTCAGATCTTACAACTATTGAATATAGCAGCGCTATTAGCTCAATGGATTTGATAAATAGAATGGTGCTATACTTTTGGATAAAATAGGGCAATCACTAGAGTGGTTTATTCGGAAACAAACTACAAAACCAATGATTTTTCCGGTTCGGTTTGGTTTCAATTTCGAATATTCGAATATTCTCTATGATTTTTTGCACAGTTCAATCTCTGCACCTTTCGTAACAACATAACTAGAGTATTTTTTAAAAAACTAAGCCTCGAAAAATCCCAATTTTGTCAAGTTAATAAGGAAATTGAATAAAATATTTAGAATTATCAATAAATTATGCAGCCATTTTTAAATTTATGCATAAAAACATCAAAATAAACTTAGTTTTACGTTGTAAGTCCCCTTAGAAATATTTTTAAATTTCAACGAATTTAAGTTAATTTTCAGAATAAAATTCAAAAAATATTTTCATGTAAATAAAATTCACCGGTGCCATAATGTGCCATAATATTTTAAAGAAAGAATGTTGGAAGATGAGTAAGCACTAATATTAGCTTGGGAGAAACTCAAAGAAAAGCAGGAAAAAAATATTTTTTGAGGAAGAGCAAAAAAATTTTTCTTCCCCTTTTCTGCTCCTTGACATTGCCATTTCTATAACTCGGTAACAGATATAAGAAATATATATTTTGGCATTTTTACGTTTTTGACAAATGATGGGAGCTATAAGATAAGAAAGGAAAGGGGAAAAGATTTTAAACAATAAAAGTAAAATATTAAATGGTTATTTCGGGCAAAAATTATGCCAAAAATAATTTTGAGAGAATTAAATGAGTTAAAAATTGAAAATAAATATTAAAGAGGCAGTTAAAATGTTTACATAGGCAAAAAATTAAAAATAAGTCATACATAAAAATAAATTTATGTGTTTAAAATGTTAAAAAGTAAGAGATAAAAATCTTAAATTTAAACAACTTAATACTTCGTTAGGATACTAAATATGTGTCGGATTTAAAAAAAAATATGTGTTGTTTCGGGTAAGGCTTTCAAAACCTTCTATGGCTCGGGTTCGAAATAAGAAAAATATGGATAGGATTTCAAACCGGGTTCTAACTATTTTCCTCGGCTCGGATACAGACATGCTTAGAAATTTTGAGTCACTATTTTCGAAGATATTTCTGCTTCGAAACAGCTCTGCTCGAGTATAGTATTTTATGATAACATGAACCATCCTTCTTGGGCAGATTAAAATTATTTTTTTAGGTTTTATCCAAAAATATTTTCTCCAAAACTTTGCAATTTTCTTTCCAAACACAAAATTTATTTAAAGCACAAAGTTTAACAAAAAATTTGTGCAAAAGCTACATATTTAATCGTCATTTAAAGAGACTACTTAAAGGAAAATATTTTCTAAATTTGAAAAAAAAAGTAATTGAGGTGCCAAAACAAAAATTCTAAAGTGTCTAGAAGTGTTTAGAAGGCAAGGCTTTTAAATAGAAAATGACGAAATTTGAAGAGAATGAAAATATTGGTAAAGGGAATGTGTCAATTGCTTACTCAAAAATAATAATAAAAAATAAAAACAATTTAGGAAAGGACCTAAAAAAATTTTTTGAAAATTTTAAAAAGAAATTGTGTTTGAAAATATGTCACTGAACTGATACCTTGATATTGGATCCAGAAACGGATCCTGAGCAGGTCTAGGCGAAATATGAAAATTTTTATTCCGTTCCGAGACCAAATGGAAAAGGTCACAAAAAAGGTCAAATTTCGCCTAACTATGATCCAAAACCAAAGTTTTTCGGAACCGCTCCATGATGCAGATTACCGTATTTTCTCTGATTTTTCATTATCTCTATTTCTTTATTTTTCAACCCCCTCCTGAGGAGCCGCTCTATTGGATGCCGTTGTTCAACTAGAGGCCGACGCTCTATTTTTCATAGCAAAATTTTTTGCAAATTGAAAGTTTGAAAAATTTGCAGATTTCTAATTGTTTCTGCCCATAAATTTCCCAAAAAATTTTTCTTAAATTTTGTTTTGCCAATTTCCTCATTTTATAAAAATATTTAAAATTATGCATAAAATTTTCTTCCAACATTTTTCTAAGAATTTAGTTTAGTAGCTTATGTATTTAATAATAAATAAGAGTTTAGGGAATGAAAAATGGTGCTTATTGGAATATATAAAGTAATTTCCTATTTCCTCTCTTAAAAAATAAAAAAGGAAAGAAAATGTGCGCAGAGTAAAAAAATAAATATAAAAAAAATGCCAAAAGAATTTTTTTACTAATCCAATTTGTGTCAAGCGGAAAATGTTAAAATTGGAATAGTTTCAAGTTAAATAAGGCATGGAAAATGTGAGAAAAGGGAGTCAAATTTAAACGGGAAAATGTTGCAGAAAAAAGTAAAAAGTTTTATAAATAGAACAATTAATTTTAAATTAAAATTATGAAGAAATTAATAAAAATTTGAATTGTTTGATAAAAATTAAAAAATAAAATTCATTAAATTTAAATGGACTGGGCACGAAATGCATGTACGTGAAATTAAAAAATTTTATTAAAAAAGAATTAAGGGATAATACTGTTTAACAATTGAGTTTTATAAATATTTATTCTTTAAAAATATTTTTAAAATTTTTTAGGAAGAATTTTTAGAAGGTAATGTTATTTCTAATTTTAAATTACCATTTTTTAACTTTTTTATTTCTTTTGAAAAAATATAAAAGGGTTTGGATTTTGTGCGAGGGAGCGAGATTATACATATATCAGCCCCAGGAATGAGATCCCTAAATGTGATTTGACTTGTCTATAATTCTAATAAGCGATTGCCATCATTATTTCGGAGGCCAAATTTCTGCTTCGACTTTATATTAATTTAATCGCTGGAAATTATGACCCATTGACAGTTGGTAAAAAACGAAATCATAAAAGAAATAATAAATATGAGGGGGGATATTTCGATAGTACCTAAATAATTTTGAAAAATAATGAAAAGAATTTTCGCTTAAAATTGTGAATTTTATTTCAATATTTTTGAAAAATAATTCTAATTAACTAATATTTTTATTTAAATTTCACCTTTTTGTCTTTTCATAACACGTATAGGCCTTAATAAATCATACCCATTCAATGAAAGAATCCTTAAATCGCCGTGGAAACGAAACAAATGCTCTAAATTATCTTAAATGGAAAGAAATTATTTCAATAAAAAATATTTCTGAACAAAAAAATTTCAAAATTTACTGGCTATCTTAGCAGTTCCAATAGGTTGGGCAATAGCTATTTCATTGATAGAAAGAATTAAAGGTTTGTTTCCAATATTATTTAGTGATTCTTTTAAAAATTAATTAAATTATTAATTCATTTTTTAATAAAAACACTTACGATTATGCCATTTTCCATCCAATTTTAACCCCATTTGTTGCCCCCTTCTTATTAGCTTGAGCGAATGCCAATGTACATTATTTGTAATGTTTGCAGAGCTCAGATTAAATGTCTATAATTTACTTGTTTTAATAAATACATACAAAAATTGTGAATTGAAATTCATAACTTTAGGTAGAAATTCATAACTTTAGGTAGAAAAACCCCCCCCCCCCTCCATCGTGTTAGCAACATTGCAAGTATGTCTCCAGGAGCTTCCTCTGGAGCCTCGCCCGGATCCGAAACCAAGAATGGAAAGGGTTAGAAACAAGCCAGAAAACTCTTAATACCATAATCAGACGAGCTACCTTTTCCAGATACCAAATCCCTTATCGATGACTATACATTTGTATTATTATGTTATTTTTAAATCAACCAACACTTTGCTCGTTTCCTCGAAATACCCAATGAACAATTAATCCTCCACTCCCAGTAATTGCTACCAATAAACGTTGTTTATCTTCATCTATTTTGTTAATATCAGATTTTGTATCAATTAAAACAAAAAGTTTTTTCTGTTTATTTAACTCATTTAATGTTATTCCCAGCTTTGGACGAAATTTAATTTCCAAATTTTCCGCCTCCAACTGCCACGAGTCAGAAAAATGAAATTTAGCTGAAAGAGATTCTGGTAGAGGGAAAGGCAAAGGGCGAGGCTCTAGAAATTATTTAAAAAATATTTTTGAATAATCTCATTGAAACTTTGTTGGCAGTTAATTCCATCAAAAGGAGTGTCAGAGCAATCACAGTGATATGAATTGTGATATGAAGAACAAATACCACCATTTTTACATGGATTCTTGCTGCCCGGCTGTTTACAAAAATCAACAGAGAAAGAGAATGGGCAACCAATTGAGATTGCTTAAAATTAATGTTAAAACAAAATTATATATAATGGAGGCAGGCAGATTAATCCATAACGGTTTCCCAAAATCTCACAGTACTTCAAGCTTATCAAATTCATACGATTAATTACGAGATTTCCTATACGGAATTACGAGAGATTCCCGTACGGGATTCTACGAGATCCAGTCCAGGGTTTTCGTGATTTTCGAAATTAATCCCGAGTGATACCTCGCCTCCTATCTTAGAAATTACGTGATCCCAAGTAAGCGTTTGATCTCACTTGATTAATTACTCACCCTATCGTTAAGTTAAAATAAGGTACCAAGTGTAAATATTCAAAGAAATTTGGTATTTTATTTGTGGGTGAATATTTTAATAATTACATTTATTTATTTTTGATGAAAGACTTCTATCAGTTGGCCTTTCCGTTGGTAATAATTTTGTTGAATGAAACTTATGTGCAATTTCGATATTTATACCGTTCAAACGAATATTTTTCATACAACCAAGAAAACCTTGACGAAGATTTATTGTCCAAACCTTTAAAAATTTATGAAAATAAAGTTGTAAATTCACTTTATTGAGAAAGTGTTGGGTTTCTATAATTCGTGTCGGTGTTAAAATTCCAGTATGATAGAACAATTTATTTCAACTAGAACAGCACTAACTAATATAGCCCAGTGATGAGTTTGAGCACTTTGTGACACACCTACATTTATATCCTGGCTCTGACTCAGTACATTTTAAAGTCTTAGCTACGACTGATTCAAAATCCGGACTAGCTCCCATAACATTTAAAGCAGATGAAAAATTGAGTACAATGCCGCTCAATTAGGGATTATATGTTCATAAAATTAATTACACATGAAGGATAATTTCTTATTATTTCAGCAGGTTCATCCATTTCAATAACTGTTACAGCTTTAACTTGATGGTCATTTTCATTTACTTGGTTAAAAGAAAGCAAGTCGGGCCAAGGGACAGCTCCAAGGAAAATTGGTTCATCTATATAAATTTAACTAAATTATGACAACATTTATATTTACCAATATCTAAATTTGCCGAAATTCCTGGGCAGGAAAATTCAGTTCGGAGTGAATCAACTGAGATGAAGCCTTTAAAAAATTTTAATGCAAAAATTATCCAAATTTCTTTAAAAAATCAACTCAACCTTTACGTCCACCTCTTTCCATAACGACGCTATGCCATAAGCCATCGTGCAGCGATTTAGCAGAGGCCTTAAAAAATATTATTCAAATTTTAAATTTTTAATTATCTCTTTTTAAATTTATAAATTACCTGTAGTCGAATATCACCAGATCCCAGATTTACTATCATCTTAAAACTGTCTTGAATTTTTTAATTTAAATTTTATCTCACAAATAAATGCCCATCAATTAATTCGAAAGCCAAATAATCACAAATTGTAAAATTCCTGCATTGTGCCATTCCATGATATAAAAGCAATCCATCGGGGGTTAATGTTCGAAACTGGAAGGCTTAAAAGAATTATTATTTACAGCAAGAGATACTGTATAGGCTATGAAATTAGATTTGAATCTCCCATCGAATCTCGGTATCTCTCACTATCTCTCATTCTTATTCCTCTCTCCCTCTATCTGTCACTCTTATCTCACTCACTTTGATGTCTCTACTCTCTTTCTGAAAGCTCCTTTATCAGAACCGAGATTTTTCTTGAACCTTGTACGATTCACAAGCGATACTAGTCTCAATTTATAAAATAATAAAAGGGCATTTAAAAAGCACTTGAAGAAATTTTTTTTCTTTATTAGATACATTTAACGCTGTATTTTGAATTTTTAAAAACAAAATTTCTCCAAAAACAGACCTAAAGTTCCACGGGACGGAGAACGCCAAGGAGGTAATTTAGTGTAATTATTTCCATTATTAAATGAGAAAACTAAAGGAGCATTTTGTGCACTTGGCATACAAGAGAATGTAAGGTCACCAAAAGCTTGGACTGTAAAATTATTTTCCATGATTAAATTTTAATTGAAATATTATTTGATATTTATCACTTTTATTAATCAAAAAAATCTTTTCTAAATTAATATAATTTTTATTCAAAAAACAAACCATTAGATTGACCAAATCCTTGATCTGCCAATTGAATTAAATTTAGTTCAACAGGACCCGATTGGAAAAATATCTGAAAGCTTGGTTAAATATCAAGTTACTTTTAATGATAATTTGGAGAATTAAAAATAAATATTATTAGATATTTATGTCTAGTAGTTATTAGCGATCATTCTTGATCGAGATCTGATTATTTCTTATGCTTGATCAGTAATATTTAAATCCATCATTGTTATTCTTGTATTTACTCTTGTAATAAACATATTATTCTATTCTTGTGATATTCTGTGATAAATTGAGCTAGGTGCTATTCTATGACAATTATTCCGTAGACCGACACTATTCTTTATAAAAACACCTTTTTTAGGCATCCACGAAAAGGCACTAAATGTTCTGGTGGCATTAAATGTCTCAAAGATTGAGGTACACCTCCAACAAAAAAGAAAGAATTTCCTAGCCATTTTAATCTTGGAGTGAATTGTAAAACTTTCTGATCAAAAATGTCATCGACAATTAGGCGAATCTTTAAAAAAATTAATTTTAAATTAAATAATCGTAGAAAATGAAAGAAAAAAAATTTTTAAGAAAAATAAATGCCTAGAGTGGCCACAGCAAATAAAAGTTTTAAAAAAGTTAAGAAAAAGATTTTTAAAAATAGAAGTGCTCCTTAACAAAATTTTTTTGATTTTTAAAACTGCAATACAAAAACGGAAACAGAAAAATATTTTTTCGTGAATTGTCAGCAGACCTACCGAAATCACAGCACCTTTAAATCCAGGCTAGAATTTAAGATTTAGAAATTTATATATTCGTGGAAAGGTCCCTTAGGATAAGACCTTAATATCTAAGTTGACGGATAATCCTCAATTAAGTTCCCAAAGACATTCCCGATTATGTATCTTGGTTGGCATCAGAGGAAAATCTTCAAGGGAAATATGTAAATAATGTATATTCACTACAATTATGGAAAGTATGGATCGAACTTTTTGTTATATCATGAATCATATCAGTTGTTATATTATGATCACGAGATTTTTCACAAGATCACGTTTCAATCCAATCGTCCAATTCCAAAATTAAAACCTACAGCATTCAGTTCTTTCACAACACAAACACTATGCCATAAATTATTATCAAAATGTAAAGGCAGTCTTTGGTTACGATCTTGTACACGAATAAGACGTTTGTCAGTTTCTGCTAATTGATGTGTTGCTAGAAGTTCTCCATTTTCAATTGTTAATTTAAAATTACTCTTGATTTAATAATAATTATAATTAAACTTTTATTATTTTTATAAAAATATTTCAACCTATACACCTTTCTACACCCTTTCCAGATAATAAATAAAAATAGAATCTCTATGAATTTATAGCCAACTCTACCTAAATTGAGAATCTCGACCCTTCAGGATCGTGATTTCGGTGATCGTGGTTTGTCGCGGAGGGAATTCACGGTTTTGGGTTTTTGCCAAAAAATTGTAGGGATGAACTTTCATGGTACGAATCGCCAAACTGAAATAAACTAACATTTTTCACAAAAATATTTTTATAAAATTACTTTCAGTATAAAGCCCAATCAAATTCTTTCATCTAAAATTGAGCCTTATCGGAGGTGGCTCCAATTCAGAGAAAGAGGGATTTAATACAGAAGATACGCTAATCTCCCATTTTTTATTTTTTTATTCATTAATTCACGTAAAAAATGATACTACTGTTTTCCAACAAATGATACTTCTGTTTACATTTAATCCTCCCCATAAATATTTAAAATATACCTTAGAATCCCCAGCAACAAAAAGAAGAGAATTTTTAGAAAAATTGGTTCTAAAAGAAATATTAAAAATTTCTCGATGACTCAAAATGGCCAAAAGATCTTCATCATTAATTCCATTATTATTCCCTTCATTGTGTAAATTATCATAGCCTATCCATTCATTTCCAAAAAAGGACACTTCTGTACTTGGCTTTTCTATAAATATTATTTCATACAATAAATGCTTTAATAAAACCTGGGCTACTATTTTTTAATGGAAAATTATGAAACTTATATGTATTATTATAGGCGCGAGACGGAAATTTTAGTTTTCGGATGCTATCCACTGGTAACTTGTATTATACATACAAGATATCCTTGGAAATTCCCAAAAATCGTCACAAACTCGGGACTGAAAAAATTCCTGATTTCTGTCCCCGATTCCTGAAATTTTCTGAAAAAGTCGGGAATTTTCGTTAATATTATTGTTCGTTTTCGTTAATTAGTCCACTTTCTTAGCTTTTTTACTTATACCATATATGGGTTAGAGTCGGAATTAAATAGAGCATTTAAGGTTAATTATAATTTTATTAAATTCCCTCACTAATTTCACATCTTCTCCCTTCATAATCTGAATAAAAACAATCACAACGAGGACCATTATTTGCACTATAACACAATCCAGAATTTAAACAAAAGTTATTTTCATCTTTTGATTTGATATGCTTTGAATTGTGTTCTCTAAAGAAAAAATAAATTTAAAAAATAAATTATTTATTAATATAATTTCCATTAGTAAATAAATATCAGGTTTAATAATTTTTAGGGTTGGGGCTTAAATAAAATATAGGTAGTGTTCGGCACAAAAATTTTCGAAATCAGTAGTATTAAGAAACTACTGGGACCGAACATGCATAGAAAATTCCAAAATCTTACTAGACGTTTCCGATGGTACAAAAGGTTATTAATCCGGCTTTCGGTAGCTCCACGATACCTACAGTTCCGAACACTAATTATGAGTCCTTATCGGGGCAAGAGGTCTTATCTATATAATCCTTATCAAAATTTGTCGGCAAATTTTAGATTTACAACACAGAATAATGATATTTAATAATAACTCTTGTTTTCACAATCAGAAATTACAGGGTGCGGCAAATTAGCGGCCGCTTTTGTTTTGGATATAACTTTTTTAATTTTAAACGAAAATTAAATTCCTGATACTTTGGATTCCTGATACTTTAGATTCCTGATACTTTAGCAAAATTGTTGATACCAAATATTGAAAATTTGGTTCACTGAGTGGAAAGAAAAACGGTTCCGAACAGCTGAAAAATCTAAAAATATTTTTCATGCCAAAGTTTATTTGATCATAACTTCGTTCAAAATAATTCAATCCGAGTGATTTTGGTACCAATCAACTCCTCTCGCTCAGGAGCATCGATATAGCTAATAAACTCATTTTTGAAAATTTTGCCTAAAAAATTTATATTTGCAAAATTTATTTTATTTTATCAATCAGAGAGTCATATCTCGGTCCATTTACGTGATAGATACCTGATTTTGACGTCATTCGAATCAGATTGGAGAGCTGATTCGAATGATATATAAAATTATCACATCGAAATAATAGCCTTGAATCCATGTCAAATTTTATCCAAAAATTTTTGCTCGAAATTTGATAGAAAATTAATCAGACTTGATTATAAGATTTAAAGTAGATTTTGGTATCATCAATTTTGCTAAAGTATCAGGAATCCAGGAAAAAAAGAATTATCAATTTTCGTTTAAAATTTAAAAAGTTATAGCCAAAACAAAAGCGGCCGCTAATTTGCCGCACCCTGTAAATAAATAAATTTAATTACAATTACTTCAAACAATAATTATCGTCAGTTTTTCGAGTACCAAAAGAGTCAATCATTAAAGGTGCAGCCATTCCTTGTGGATATATTCTATACATTAAATTACGAATCAAGCCAGCAAATCTTTTAGAATATCTTCTTAATGGAACGCTGAGTTTTTCGACATCCTTTTTAATTTTTGAGAAATTTTTAAAATAATTTTTAATTTTTTATTAATCCTCTAATACTTCAAAATTTAACTCCATGATAGAACTCCATATATTTTGATTTATACATACATAAGCCACTAGGGATTTATTTTCTTTTCTGGAATAAGATGTTAGCTTGTATTGAATAAATGCTTCTAATAGAGCCGGGTTTTAATTAGAGCATCCACGGTTCTTCTACTTTTGTTTATTTATTTTTACATGTATGAAAAATAGTAATTTTGTCCTTTGTCCAAAATATTCCTAACATCATTTAGTGTCGTCTTTTTCACAGCTAATTCCAAAAATATAATCCCTAGTGGTTTTTTTATGTAAATATAGTCCAAAAAGTGTGAAAAATAGTCCAAAAATGGAAAAAATAACAAAACAAAATTTTGTTTTTTGGATTAAAAAATATTATTTTGGATATTTTTGGAATATTTTAAATCTTTTTATTTTAAAATTATAAAATTATTTTTAATTTTGCTAATCCTCCTCCCCAAAATCCCACGATATACTTCTTATTCTTAAATCTGGGATATCAGGAGATTGAAGGTATTAAGGAGGATATAAAGAGAATATTCTCAGAATATTCTCGAGAAATATCCTTAATAAGTTTTAAAATCATTATTTTACTTTAGGTATGCCACCAACAAAAATATCAGAATTTGTTCGAATATTTCCAAGCATAAAACTTTTTTGTTTGTCTAATAAACAAAATACAATTTCGTCGTCAAGTTGAATTTTAATATTCTCCCAAGCCTGGCATAAAAATATATTTAATTATAAAGATAAGGAAGGTTGATATGGCATGATTATGTTTATGGATTGGTTTGGGTATTATATCTAGGACTCAATGAGGGAAGAAGATCTAAAACTGTTAACTTCTCGATAGCTTCCCTATATCCATTTTAGAGATCTAGCCGACCCGATTACTGAAAATCGTAAATTCCAGACGGTTTTTGAGTAGGCACCTTAAGATTAAAATTGGATTCCATTTACCCCTCTTAACCTCCTCCTTAAAATGCCAAGATATCCTTCTTAACCTCAGTGGATAAAGGAGGATCTAAGGAGATATCAAGTCTCCAACCCAAAACCGACTTTTTTCTTGACCCTACCCATCTCTAGTATGATAATTTAATTATATACTTGAAATAAAGTAAAATAATGCCACTTTCCATCATCTACTTTAGTTTCCATCAAATAAATATTGTGCCTTTTAGGTGGAATAGTTTCAATTTCTCCAATTCTGAATTCAACGAGAATATAACTCTCAAGTATACTAATTATAAGGAAATTGTGATTTATTGCTCCTACAAAAGAAAAATTGGTACTTATCGGTTATCTCCCCACACATTATTTTCCTTTTATTTCCCCTTCTCTTTCTTCCCATAAGTTACAAAAATGCCACTTTTTTTCTTCCCAAAAGTTCAAAATGTCACAGCCTTTTATGTGTCACACCTTTTAGCAAGTATGTAAGTGCTGGTACTTGTATTTTCAAATGGATTTTAAAGAAAATAGCACATTTTTGGCCCCCTAAATAATGTTTTTAGATTATATTTTCTATTTTTTTTAAATAAAGTTTATTAATTACATTTATTTGCCTTTGACGTCTTTGTAACTTTTGGGAAGAAGAAGGAAAACAGGGAAAGAAATTGTGGCATTTTTGTAACTTATGGGAAGAAAGAGAAGGGGAAATAAAAGGAAAATAATGTGTGGGGAGATAACCGATAAGTACCGAAAAATTAAATAAAGGAAATTATTTTTGAAAGGTGATTGAAAATTATTAGGTAGAGCTTGAGCTTTAAACTTTGCCCTAATAAGTTCAATGACATAATTTCTATTTTTCTTAAAAATTTTTTTGTGTCGTATTAGTTTATGTTTTGTATCTTTTTTGATTGTACGTTATATATAAATACTTATAAATTAAATTTAGAAAATTCTTATAATATTCATAAAAATATTAATGAGTTTTACTATTCTCTATCAAAGTTTGTGGGAGGGGTGGGGGGGGGGAGGATAATACATATTTTTGATAACTATAATAAATTTAAATAGATTTATTTTTTAGTTAATAATTAATTAATTATTAATTCACCATCATCAGTATAAAGAATTATTGCGTTTGATTGATGCGTTTTAAATTCAAATTTAATTTCATTTTCGAATGTTTGGGCCCATTTTGGATATCTAAATAATAGTTGATTTTTCTCATTTTTATTCTAAAGAACCTAGCAAAAGATTCACGTCCACCAGACAAAATTAGAGCTTTAATTGATGAAATAGATTCCATAATTATTAAAATAAAAAAAGTTACTAAATAATTATTTTGTGTAACAATTAAAATTTTTAACATGTGAATATTCCCCTTAAAAATTGAAAAAATTAGCTCTTGTCCAGATTAGCGTCCAATGGCACCTTTACGCGTCCAATCAAATTTTATACATCCAATCACATTTTTAAGTCTTCATTTTAAACCAATGGTCCGGTATCATGCGGGTGTAACATAACTGGATGAGAAGATCTCTCTACATATTCCCTTAGATTTTATGGTACTAAAATGAAGAACCGGGTACTTAAAAATGTGATTTAACGCATAAAATTTGATTGGACGCACAAAGGTTGATTGAACGCGTAATCTAGAAAAGAGCCAAAAAATTTTCTAAATTATTTTTAAAAATTAGTAAAAATAATCGGAACACTCAAAAATTATTTAAAATAACACCAAAAGCATACTAATATTTATGCTTGGCCAGAAAAAAAATAAAAAGCTTTTTGGTTAGTAATTGTTGTTTTTCTAGCTTGTAGTAAATAGAATATTATTTAGAGGGTTATATATTTAGGGGGCAGGTGTGGAATTATTTATTTGAAAGGGTATAAAGTTGGAATATTTTTGAGGTAAAAATGTTTTGGATATAGGTCATGCGTTAAAAATTATTTTTAAAAATTAATAAAAATATTTTGAATAAAAAAATAATAATAAGATAAATAAATAGAAAAAAATGAAGAATAAGAAGCTTATCATGGGGAGTTTTTATTTTATTTTTTCAAATTCTATTTGTGTTCGATAAAGGAAAAATATCAGAAAATTACCAAACTTAACAGTCACTTTATAAATTTAAATTAGATATAATTAGTCCTCGACCCTTGATTCCTCCGACTCCCTGATCACCTCGACGATAATTTTTAGGCTATTACTCGACTATTACTCGATCGAGATCCCCTACAGTCTACTTTCTACCTCCAAGTTCCAGAAAATTAAACGGGCATATTTTTTACTATCAAATAAGAATGTTGCCCGAAATCCTGTCACATCGACAGTCCATCCTACGAGATCACCATTCCTCTCGAGAGTGGCAAAAAATTGAAAAAATAAACGCATATCATAATAAAAAGTTAAACAATAAAGATAAAATTACAATAAGAAAATTTAAATTTACAATAAAACAAAGTTATCGTTCAAAGATATAAATAACGTTTATTATAAAAAATTTAAAATTATTAAAAATTTTTTGTTTTTTACTAAAAAAATTCAAACCCAACATAAATATTAACCAAAATAAATAAATAATATCAATTACAAAGTCAATATGTCCAACCATTTTAGGTAAACATTGACTACATTTTGGGCGCGTGAGATTTTTTGAAAAGCAAAAATGTTGAGCCGTTGGGTAAAAAGGAGACTAGAAACGGAGAAAAGAGTACATAGCTGAGGAAAATTATTTTTAGAAAAAAATTTTTTTAAAATAAATTTTATTATAAAAATGAAAGGTAAGAGTCTTTTTAGTTGAAATATTGAGAAAATAATTAAATAAAAATTAAAAATAATGGAAATTGTCTGAACAAAGAATAGATAAGTTAATTAAGGTATCGAGAATACACAGTGGTGCAAAAGTTTATGCACACTTTATAATAATTAAATAAAATCCTGCCGATAGGAATTCCTCATTTCGGAAATGGGGAATGTATCGGCGCTATAGGAAATAGATAGGGCTAAAAAAGCGCAAAAAAAGGCCAAAGAAAATTTTTTGATTAAACAATAAAAAACATGAAAAAAAATTTGCTCTAATTATTAGGGTGTAACATAAATAATTAGCCCCCCATGTGTTAAGTGGTTTAAATAATTATTAATTAAAAAATTTTTCTTATCATGTATTTTAGAAATAAAAAATAAATTAAAAACAAATTTATAATTAATAATTAACAAAATTATTTAAAAAATTAACCCAAAATTTTTTTGGCTTAATCTGCGAATTTTGACTACTTTAATTTTTAGCTCGTTTTTGCCTTATTCTTTTCAAATCTTCATCTCTTTATGTTTTGGATTTTTAGTTTTTTTCATTTTTAAAAGGACACTTTACATCAAATGCCGTTTTGTCAGCCGCGGGGGAGTGCGTGGGAGAGAGAAGGGGAAGGGGAAAGAAGGGAGGGAATTCTGGGCGGCATGGGAACCGGAAGGAGCTTTTTCTTATTTTTTACTCCATTTCCTTTAAGTTTCTTCCGTCCCTTTGGGAAAATAAATTTTTGGAAGAAATCAAGTTTGGACAAAGCTTTTTGGTGTTTATGATTAGTTTTTATGCTAGTTTATAATGCTGTTTATTTATTTTAAAAAATAAAAAGATGAATTGAATTTTTTATATTTTTGGGGTTTATTTTAGTTAATTATTAATTTTGAAATAATATGAAAGGAAAAAACACAAAATTCAAAAGGAACAAATTAAATTTTGAATTTAACATATTTTTTTTTTGTGGCTAAAGTGCACTTTACCGGGCGATTTTAGATTTTTATGATTTATATGTCAATCGAAAGAGCTCATCAAGCTGAGTCGAATGACACCAAAATTAGTCCGCGGACTCAACTATGGACCGAGATATAGGTCCCCGAAAATCGAAAAACCATAGGGGGGGCCAAGCTTTTTTTTGGGGTGAAAAATTCGAATATCCAAATTATAACTCATTCGAAAGAGCTCCTCGAGCTGAGTCGAATGACACCAAAATCAACGAAATCTGACTTGATTTGACAAAGTTATGACCGTTTGTTTTTACCCCTTCCACAAGTTTTCGCGGCAAAAAGTTTTTGCCGCTGCTGAGGAAGCCGGGCATGTCGAGCGGAACGACGGCCGCCGCTTCGCTACGGTCGCCGCGAGCGAAGCGAGCACGACCGCAGCGAAGCACGGCCATCGTGTAGCGAGCACGGCCATCGTGTGTTTTTCGAAAAATCTACACTTAGGCCTTTTTTGTTTTTATTAAATAGTCGGTCTCGACCTGTTTTGCAACCAAAAATTTTGAAAACAGAACATTTTGAACAATTTCTATGAGTTTTAAAAAACCAAAATTTTTAATTAAAAAAATAAAAGGATATTAGCCGCAGTATTATTCCTGATAATTAGGGACCGGATTTTTAGGTTATAACCTATTTTTTCTGCGAAATAGTTATGATGAATTGAGCTCAAATCTGTTGTTATTTTTTGAATATCTTACGTTTACGCGGGCTTTTTATCACCTATTGGAACCTATTTTGGGGTTTTGAATCATAAAATAGGTTGTAACCTATTTTGAAGCTTTTGTGTTTTTTGTCACCTATTTTGGGGTTTTTTCGTAAAAATTCAATTTTTTAACACAAATTTTCAAAATTTTTCGAAAAATCTACAATTTTTTAAAAATTTTGTCAAATTTTTCTCATCATCCAAAAATTTTTTCCAATTTTTAGAAAAAAATATTTTTTCAAAATTAAAAAAATTTTTCTTAATTAATATTTTTCGGTGAAAATTTAAAAAAATGAGAATTTTTTGCAATTTTATTATACTAATAAAATTTATGAACGGAAAATAGAAAATATTCAGCATTTTTCATTTTTTGCCCCATATGTCGAACTTTTTTTCAAGCCTATTTTTCATTTTTGTCACCAATTTTGAAATTTTTGTCACCTATTTTAGCATTTTTTACAACATATTTAGGTACTTATTTTAATCTTTTTACAACCTAAAAATCCGGTCCCTACTGATAATACTAATAAATTGTATCCAAAAATTTTTAAAAATTGTCTACACTAAATTACCCAAAAGCACTGTATAAAAAATAATTTTCAAGAGTATTTTTGGAACCGGTTTTCAATTTTAAGTTTTATTCAAATACCGGTTTTATTTTGGGGGAATTTTTTTAAAAATCACTCTTTTTCATAAATTCTTGTTTGAAAATTTCCTAAAAACGGTTAATTTTTGGCAAAAAATTTCATGAATCCCGATTTATAACCGGTCTTGAACAACTCAGCCCCACTCCGAATTATCTTGGAAAAATGTTTTATAATAGAATCGCATTTGCAATCCGTGAAAAAGAATTATTTGATCTATAAAATAAGCAAAAATATATTAAATAATGTAGATGAGAATAAAAGTCATGATAAAATGAAACGTGCCCCGTCACTCTTTTGTCACTTGCAGTTGTTAATAAAAATAGAAAAGTTGATACTATCGCAGTATAGCCCTATCATCCACAAATGTTTTTCGCACATTTTTCATTAGTTCTCATTCTTCTCTTCTCTCATTAAGATTAGAAAATGTTCAAGGATTAATAATGGGCAGGAATTAATTTTCATTAAATAAGGCAAAATACAAGACAAAAATTTTACTTGTTCCAAGAACAAGTCTATCAACAAAACAAAAGTGTTAAGTTCTAAAACTTAAATTTTGAGCTTATCTCTTTATTAATTTTTTACAAAAATTTTTTTACTAAATTTTTATACTGAAACTAAAAATAACAAAATAAAATGAATATTTGATAAAAAAATTTTTATCTTTGTTTTTGCTTGCATTTTACTCATAATTTTTTGGAGTTTTTAATTTTTAATTTTTTTTGTCATTTTCTATTTTTTTGTTTTTAGAAATAATTTTTACATTCTTTCGTCTATAAATTTTTGTCAGGTTTGCAATTTCTCCAATCTTTTTGATTTCTCGCTTCATTTCTTAATCATTATCTCAATCTTAACCATCAAAAGGGGGTTTGTTAAGATCAACTAAAATTAATTATAAACTAAAATTATGAACCAGGTTTTGTCATTTCATGAATGACGTGAATCATATTAAAAAATCTTTGAGGTAAATATTTTTTATGTTCACACCCACGATCATCATAAATGGGCAAGAGAAGGTATTCTTTCCAAACCATCAAAATATCACCTACGCGCTGAAACGGACAGGAAGAAATATGAACTGAATTGAGTGTGCATAATAATTTCAATTGGATGGGTCAAAAAATATAACGGATAATATTATTTTAATTGTGTTTTATAATTTT